GCAAGGACAAGACCCCCAGAGGGGTCTGCCAGGGAGACCGCAACTGGCCGACTAAGCGGCGTGAGTGTGGTGCGGTCTCGAAAGAAGGAGCGGGAAGCACCCGAGTCAAGGGTGAAGGTGTGGGAGGCCTGAGCCGACGTGGTACCTGAGAGAGCAGACTCACCAGCACCTGGGGCAGCAGTCTCACTAGCACCTAGAGCAGCAGCCTCACCAGCACCTAGAGCAGCAGCCTCACCAGCACCTAGAGCAGTAGTCCCAATGCCCGGGTCAGGCGGAACACAGAGGTAACAGTCACCCTCATCACTAGCAGACACAGCATACATGGCAGCAAGAATAGCATCATAATCAAGATCAAAGATAGCAACCCCCGACCTCTGCAGCTCTCCCCAGCGAGGGATCTCAGTGGCGTCAGGGAACTGGAGACGCTAGGCGTCCGTCAGGCGGCCGAAGCAGCGCTGGGTGGGGTGCGGGCCCCCGCACTGCTCACCCGTACGGTCGCCGGTACGCAGGACGTAGGTACAGGGACCAGCACCCCCACCCCGCTGACGCGAAGCGTACCACTCACGAAGCTGCTGGGGGGACGGGGTCTCACGAGTGCGCTGCTGCTGCTGGCGCTGACCACCACCGGAGCCGCCCCTCTGCGCAGAGCCGCCCCGACCAGTCCCACCGCTGCCGCCACCACCTCAACCGCCGCCACCACTCCCACCACCACCCCCACCCCCTCCACCGCCTCCACCGCCACCTCCACCGCCCCTGCCAGCTCCTCCAGCACCCTTGCCCCCTTTGTCCTTGCCGGTGCGGCGTCTCCCGCCAGGGGCAGACGCAGCTCCGACCGACTCGAGGCCAACGAGGTCGGCCGCAGCAGCAGAGGCAATAGAGGGCAGGAGGGGGGAGGGGGAACACCCCTCAAAGAAGGGAGTACGAGGGTCACCACGAGAGGCTCCTACAGCGACTATGCTCTTCTCAGCTGCCAGGAGGCACTCCTCGAGGAGGTCAACGGTGAGAGTGGTGGGGCAAACAGAGAGGAAGTGGTCCCTGACCGAGCGAAGGGAGTCAGGGAGCCGGGTGACTATGTAGTAGAGGGTGATGTACATGGGGGGGGGGGGGGGGTTCTTGGCGCAGAACTCAGCAGGAAGCGCAGCGCGGTAGCGGGTGTCACTAGTGCGAAGGTGCGTAACTAGGTCAGCGACCGTGGAAAAGGCGGCGAGGTCAGGGAACAGGTACGGCAGCATGAGGCGACTAAGAGCAGCAGTGGCAGGGGAAGAGTAGCGTGCAACTACAGCGTCGTACAGGGTCTTAGCGCTCTTATACTGACCAAAGTGCGCGCGCTCAGAGGACGGCAAGTGACTACGAACAGCAAGACGGGCAGCAGCATCACGTGTGGCCCACTGTGAGCATCGGCAGGAGGGGCAGGAGAGGCGCCAAACGTGAGATCGAACAGGGAGAGACCATCTGTCCTATCGCACTGTAGGAAAAGCTGTAGGTCATCGACCCAGACCTCAAAGTCGACAGCCCGACCCTCAGCATCAAAAGTGAGAACATTAGGAGCAGCCATGGCAGCAGTGGCAGCAGCAGGCAAGCAGTAAGAGCAGGGCGGTGGTAGAGGCGCTGCTCAGGAGTGCTCTTACCAGGGCGGGTAGGTAGAGGCCCGCAGGTGGTGAGGCAGGGCCGAGGCGCGCCTGCAGGGACAGGACCGCAACAGTGGTGGCGGCGGCGGCGACAGCGACTGTGGCGGCTGCGGCGGCTGCTGTCTCGGCTGCGGCGGCGGCGGCTGCGGCTTCGGGAGCGGCAGCGACGGCGGCAACGGCGGCGGTGGTCGGCAGCAGAGGCGGCTGCAGTCGGCAGCGGCGGTGGCTGCAGCGGTAGAGGTGGCCGCTGCTGTTGCTGGGACCGGGGAGGGGCCGCGTAGGGCGGCGACGGGGCCGCGAAGGGGCCACGAGGGGCCGAGAAGAGCGGGGACGGGGCCGCAACGGGCGGCGACGGGGCCGCGAAGGGCGGCGACGGGGCCGCAACGGGCGGCGACGGGGCCGCGAAGGGCGGCGACAGGGCCGCGAGGGGCGGCGACGGAGCCGCTAGGGGCGGCGACGGGGCCACGAAGGGCGGCGACGGGGCCGTAACGGGCGGCGACGGGGTCGCGAGGGGCGGAAACGGAGCCGCGAGGGGCGGCGACGGGGCCGCTAGGGGCGGCGACGGGGCCGCGAAGGGTGGCGACGGGGCCGCGAGGGGCGGCGACGGGCCGCGAAGGGTGGCGACGGGGCCGCTAGGGGTGGCGCGAGGGGCCGTGAGAGGGGCCTCTAGGAGGGCGCGACGGGCCGCTAAGGGCAGGGGACGCGACGAGAGGGCGGCCCACTGGGCGCGCCTCGGGCAGGAACGACTCGCACTCCGGTCAGAAAAAAAAAAAAATCGATTTTCAGTGGTGGGCCCTAGGAAGCGTTCCCACTAGGGAACCTGCTCTATACCATGTGAAGAAATGAGGAATGAATGCACTAGGAAACAGGTGGGTACAAGTAGGAAAACCTAAAAGTGTTGTACCCCATATTGTCTACCCCACTACAGCCTACACAGACTATAGCATATAAGTTTGACACATTTCACCGGACTGTAACCCCCCTATTCCCTCTATACCCCCTCGCTGTTTGGATGCGATGCGAGTATTATTTATCGGTGGTGCTGATTGGCTGCGCTTCTGCACCATTCGAGGCGACAGAATGGTCGCACACAGTATTTTCGTGCAATGGTGGTCATCTCTGGGGGAAGCAGGCCAATCTGAGTGTGGCGAGGTGATGATTGATTTCGCGACTCTGAGAGTGCGTCGCCAGGGTTGGTTCTACGAAAAAGGTTTTTGCTCCCTCTCGCTAACCCTGTTTCATGTTCAGGAAACTTGGTATTCAGCCATGTGATACTCGGGCTTTAAAGCGAGCAGGAAAAATAGTGAAGGGAGGCCCAACTTGAATTTGTGGCACTGTTTCGGGAGGGTGCCCAAGCTCGACACGAACGGGATCACTATTCACGGAAACTTTGTGTGTCTAGGGTTGGGTGGCTGAAGACACCATATGGTTGGATAGCGACGTCCCGGTTGTAATGCGAACAAGGACATTGGTGGGACTATTCGCCAATTCCTTACTAGCAAAAGCAGGGGCAATCATGTGCGACAGGATAACGAATACGAATTTCGACAGAGAGGGGAGTTGATTACATGAAACGAACTCGCGCGAAAGAACAGGGCCTTGAAAAAAAGTGCTGAGGGCAGGAGCGAGCTCGACTGAATCCAGCGGGCCCACTCCAGTGCTTCAAATTGGACCTGGGTTGCACACCACCTTGTCATAACACTAGGGCCGCGCTCGATACTATGCAAAACAGAGTAGCTGTGACTACTCGATACTTGTAAAACAGAGTAGCTGTGACTACTGGAGGGCTGGAAACTTGGCTGGAAAGTCTTAGCAGGGCTGCTGGAATTGACTGGATGAGGTAAAACTTCACTATGTTCAAGATTAACAAGCCCACTAAAGCACAACTCTAGGCATCACAAACAAGACAGATTGAAAGCTCAAACTAGGCTGATAAACAATGTAACTTCCCTGGTAACTTGGGCACAATCTAGATTGGATGGACCTTGAGTGACTTTGAGTGCCACATGAGGTGCATGAATAAGAAAACTCTGGATATTTCTGTTATAGCTGATTCTGATGTGTAGAAACCTGTAGAAACTGCCAACACTTCGGTTTGAAGGCAGCTTTGAACTATATCGAGTCTTCGGCTGAAATCTGATTGGTGGTGGAACTTTCGAAGTACTTCCCGAAGCTCTGATTCATCGCCGACATTCCCCCTTGCTGCTGCTTGTGTGCAAAGGGCTGGGGCGGCAGAAACTCGATTCTCCAACAGGTTGCACACCACCTTGTCATAACACTAGGGCCGCGCTCGATACTGCAGAGCATTCGCAGAATAGCAAAAGAAAGGTTAGAAGGGCTGCTGAGACTTGCACCTGCACCGCGAAGCCTGCTTGGCATTGTGTAAGTCTCTTATTAGTCGCGCGCGCCTTGTCAGCCAGGAAAAAACGACGACATTTCACTTGGTAACGCAGGTTACGATGGGATGCATTCGTGCGGACTGCAAGGCACAGCGCCTCTGCTACTCGGATTCAGTCGCCTTGCTAGGAAGCGCTTCTGCTATAATGTGATATAGGATGGATTTTTAGGGTTGCGTCTCGCCACACTACTCGCTGACTTCACGATTGCAATGCATCAGTGCGCCTCTATGTTTCCAGACATATTGCAAGGCAATGTACCGCGCCTGCTCACTTGAGGACGGACTGCAGGGCACTCCGCCATGCATGCTCTTTTGGAGACGGAATGCAACGCGCAGCGCCGCGCATGCTCGTTTTAGGACGGAATGCGACGTGCTGCGACGCGCATGCTCGTGATGGACCGGAATGCAATGCGCTGCGCGTTGCCTGCTCGTGCAGGGACGGAATGAGGCATTGCGCCGCGCCTGCTCGTGCACAGCGCGGATTGCACGGCACTGCGCTGACCATCCTCGTTTTCAAACGGATTGGATGGCCCTGCGCCGCGCCTCCACAACCGTCGACGGATGGCAAAGCACTGCGCCGCGCCTGCTCGTTTTGGGACGTCTTGCAATGCACTACGTCGCTGCCTGCTCACTACCATAAGCATTGCAAGTCACGGTGCCTCGCCTGCTCGCTTTCAGACGGATTGCAAGGCAGTGTGCCTCGCCAATTTGTGAGCAGACCGATTGCAACGCACTGTGCCTCGCGCTTCCCGCGATCAGACGGAATGCAACGCACTGAGCCTCGCCTGCTCGTTTTCAAACGGATTGCAAGGCAGGAGGCGTGGTGCCTGCTCGTGTTCGGCCTATTTCTGCACTGCGCCGCTAAGGCTCGTTTCAAGGCAGGATGCAAGGCACGATGCTGCCTTGCCCCACTTCCCGTTTTCCCTTCCACTGCCGGTTTCCCCTTCCCCTGCTGTTACCCCTACCCATTGCGCATGGAAAACGTTACTCTCTATTTCCCCTACCCCCAATCCCTCCCCATATCCCCATTTCCAAGCCACTCCCGTCACTCCCCTTCCCTCCGCCCCTCCCCGATTCCTCTTTCCCCAGGGACTCCTCATATCCCCTTCCCTCCCCCTTACACGCGTCACACCTCATATCATGTGTCCCATGTCCCTCCCCAATTCCCCGTTTCCCATTCACTCCCCATTTCCGCGTTTCGGAGTCACCGCTGTGTTTCCCCTTCCCTTAAACCCGCCCCATATCCCCGTTTCTCAGTCACTCCCCAATTCCCAATCCCTCTGACTCTCCCCCTTTCACTTACGTGCGTCACGCCCCATTCCCTCACCCCTCCGTCCCTGTTCACTCCCTTTTTTCCAAAGTCACCCCTCGTAACTAGTCCCTCCGTCCCTCCTCATTTTGGCCCCCCTCCGACCCTCCCCATTTTCCCTTCCTTCCATCCCGGCCCATTTCCCCATCCCTCACTCCCTCCCCATTTTCCCTTCCCTCCATCCCTCTCCATTTTGCCGTTCCTCTGTCCCTCACCCTTTTGCACCACACACACCGCCGTCCCTCCCCATTTTGCCTTCCCTCTGTCCCTCCCCATTTCCCCTACCCTCTGTCACTCCCATTGCCCCTCCTCTATGTCCCTCCACATTACCCCTTCTCTCTGTCACTCCCTGTTTCCCTTTCCCATACTTTCCATGTTACCCCTTCCCTCTGAACCTCCCCATTCCCCCTCCCTCTTTCCTTCCCCAATTCCCCTTCCCTCTGTCCCTTCCCATTGCCACTTCCCTCTGTCACTCCCATTACCGCTTCCCACTGTCCCTCCCCATTTCCACTGCCCTCTATCCTTTCCTATCTACTCTCCTCTTTCTCACTCCCATTTCCCCTTCCCTTTGTCTCTCCCATTTCCCCTGCCACCTGTCCCTCCCATTTCACATCCCCCCTGTCCCTCCACCCGCCACTTCCCTCTGTCCGTCCCAATCTGTCCTTCCGGATTTCCCCATCCCTCTGTGCCTCCCCATCTCCCTCCCCTCTGTCCCTCCCCATCTCCCTCCCCTCTGTCCCTCCCCATCTCCCTCCCCTCTGTCCCTCCCATATCTCACCACTCTGTCCCTCCCCATATCCCACCCCTCGTCCCTCAACATATCCCACCCCTCTGTCCCTCACCATATCCCTTCCCTATGTCCCTCCCCATATCCTTCTCTCTGTCACTCCCCATTTTCCTCTCCCAACACTCCATGTTACCCCTTCCCTCTGTGTACCTGGTGTGTGCCTTGTGTTCACCTGTGCGCCCCCACCTACCTTGCTCATTCCCTCACACCCATCACGCTCCTCTTCACAACCTTCCCACATCACCCATCCTCTTCACACCCTTTCGATGCTTGAAAGAGGGGTTGATCGGCATTGGGGCTCATGCAATGTCGCCCTCGCACACACCCTCGCTTGCCCTCCCTAATTTGCCAACCACCCTATGCCCAATGTGTCTGCCCCAGGCCATCCGTGCGAAGGGACATCAGCAGCCCGGCCCGGCCCAGCCTCCCCATTTCCCCCTTTCTCTGACCTCCCCATTTCCCCTTCCTGTACAAATTCAATTCCCCTTGCCCCTGTCACTCCCAATTTCCCCTTCCCTCTGTCCCTTCCCCATTTCCCCTTCCCTCTGTCCCTTCCCAATTTCCCCTTCCCTCTGTCCCTTCCCCATTTCCCCTTCCCTCTGTCCCTTCCCCATCTCCCCTTCCCTCTGTCCCTTCCCCATTTCCCCTCCCCTCTGTCCCTTCCCCATTTCCCCACCCCTCAGTCCCTCAGCATTTCCCCTTGTCCTGTCACACCGCTTATCCCCTTCCCCCTGTCCCTCCCCATTTCTCCTACCCTCTGTCCCTCCCATTTTCCCTTCCAATACCAGCCCAAGTCCCCTTGTCCCTGTCACTCCCCATATCCCCAGTCCCCTGTCACTCCATGTTTCCCCTTCCCCTAATCCCTCAGCATTTCCCCTTGTCCTGTCACTCCCCTTATCCCCTTCCCCCTGTCCCTCTCAGGCACCCATTTTCTCTCCCCATGTTCCCTTCCAGTACCAGCCCATGTCCCCTTGTCCTGGTCACTCCCCATGTCCCCTTCCCCCCTGTCACTCCATTTTCCCCTTCCCCCAGTCCCTCAGCATTTCCCCTTGTCCTGTCACTCCCCTTATCCCCTTCCCCCTGTCCCTCCCCGTTTCCCCTTTTCTCTGACCTTCCCCATGTTCCCTTCCTGTACCAGCCCAAGTCCCCTTGTCCCTGTCACTCCCCAATTCTTCCTTCCCCTGCCACTCCGTGTTTCCCCTTCCCCCAGTCCCCCAGCATTTCCCCTCGTCTTGACAATCCCCTTATCCCCTTACCCCTGTCCCTCCCCATTTCCCCATTTCTCTGACCTTCCCCATGTTCCCTTCCAGTACCAGCCCATGTCCCCTTGTCCCGGTCACTCCCCATGTCCCCTTCCCCCCTGTCACTCCATTTTCCCCTTCCCCCAGTCCCTCAGCATTTCCCCTTGTCCTGTCACTCCCCTTATCCCCTTCCCCCTGTCCCTCCCCGTTTCCCCTTTTCTCTGACCTTCCCCATGTTCCCTTCCTGTACCAGCCCAAGTCCCCTTGTCCCTGTCACTCCCCATTTCTTCCTTCCCCTGCCACTCCGTGTTTCCCCTCCCCCCAGTCCCCCAGCATTTCCCCTCGTCTTGACAATCCCCTTATCCCCTTACCCCTGTCCCTCCCCATTTCCCCATTTCTCACACCTCCACCCAACCCCGCTGCTATGACTCTCACTGCTGAAAAACTTTCACCCCTCCGGCGATCTACGGTCACACTCCCCGCTGTCCTTGCAATGCCACCCACACTCAACCCCCAAACCCCTCACACTTTCCCATTCCCCCCTGCTATTGCGACTCACCCACCAATCCAGTGCCATCATTAACACACGAGGGACACTTACCCACACTCACACCTTCCCACTTTCGTACATCCGCTGCTCCAGTCTGCTTTTGCCCTACATAAGCAGTATCCCTATTCCCTCGATCTCCTGCCCTCACTCACCTATCTCTCTGATCAGTCTTTCCGCTCCTTCCCACACCGACTATGAGCATCGAATCATTTGGTCCTTTCCATCCCCACCCACCTTAGTCACACACACCACTCCGCCCCCACTCAACCCCTTGGTATCTCAACCCCAACCTGTTACGGTATCTCCCTCAACTCGCTTCCGTTGGTATACCACTAATCACTCCACACTGGCTATACCCTTGGTAGGTATGATGATGGTACCTACTCCACGTATAAGCGCTTTTGTTTTTTTTTTTGCACCCAACAAGTAAACAATACTAAGACGCCCTCCACTCGCTTCCGTTTTTGTATGATTTTCCACACCACAGGCTCGCCAGACTATCCGCCCTTGGGTCATACACCCGGCTCATCCTCCATGGACATTGAGATCAGATCTTTTTACTCCATTATATTTGGGGCTTCTAGCCCCTTATCTCCGTCTGCGTGTCTGCGAACAGCATGTATCAATAGGAGTTAACTCTTCTCTCCACATAGGGTCTTTGCTAGTTTCACACAACGATGTGACCCGACCAGCTGCCAAACAGTGGCCATATCCTCTTCAATTTGTTTCATGGACGCACAACCCAAGGCATCAGTAATGCACAAGTCAACATTTGAAGGTTTTGTAAACATTGATACTGTAGGGTGAGATTCACTAGCTGCTCCTTTGACAGTACTACCAACAGCCCCACCAGCAACAGCCCCACCCTGTCGATGTGTTGTGCGTTGCGGCAGTGGCAGCGGCAACACGTGCTTCTCTGCGGTGAAAGGCGACCAAAGATACAGCTCCAGCAGCACTGACAGGCCTGTGTGTTGGGGTGGACACAGGGCAGTAGACTGCAGACATCAACACAGAGATGGAATGAAAGGGTGTGAGTGGGATGAAATGAGAGTGAGAGGGGGATGGACTGAGAGTGAGAGTGGGATGGAATGAGAGAGATGAGGGTGGGAAGGAATGAGAGTGGGAGGGCGTGAAGATTGGGGAAGTGAATGATCCGCACCTTGCTGTCAGTTTCCTGATGCGATGCTTCTAGGTCGTCCTCCTGGCAGGGAGGATGTGGGAAGGGGGGAGCAGGAGCAGGATGGGGGAAGAGGCAAAGAAGAAGCAAAGCAGGGTCGGGGAGGGGCACATGGGCAGGGAGAGGATAGACCTATGGAGAGGGAGAGTAAGGAGGGCACATAGGGAGGGAGCAGGGGGAGATACAAGGGGAGGTACCAGTAGGGGACGAAATTTGGCGGGAAAATGGCAGCACTGCAAATGCATTAGCAATTGCTTGCTCCAGGGAACTGGCAGGCCCTTCAGCTATCATATCCCTCTCACTAACCTTACTGACCCATCGATCCCCTCATCTCATATTCTGGGCTCACCTGGCTTGTGGGAAAATATCACCTGAGAATATGGAGGGGGGCCCAAGCAGGGAAGGGGATGGGGGGATGCAGGGCAGGGGATGGGGGGAAGCAGGCATTGGGATGGTGGGAAGCAGGGATGGGGATGGGGGGAAGCAGGGCAGGGGATGGGGGGAAGCAGGGCAGGGGATGGGGGGAAGCAGGGCAGGGATGGGGGGAAGCAGGGCAGGGGATGGGGGGAAGCAGGGCAGGGGATGGGGGGAAGCAGGGCAGGGGATGGGGGGAAGCAGGGCAGGGGATGGGGGGAAGCAGGGCAGGGGATGGGGGGAAGCAGGGCAGGGGATGGGGGGAAGCAGGGCAGGGGATGGGGGGAAGCAGGGCAGGGGATGGGGGGAAGCAGGGCAGGGGATGGGGGGAAGCAGGGCAGGGGATGGGGGGAAGCAGGGCAGGGGATGGGGGGAAGCAGGGCAGGGGATGGGGGGAAGCAGGGCAGGGGATGGGGGGAAGCAGGGCAGGGGATGGGGGGAAGCAGGGCAGGGGATGGGGGGAAGCAGGGCAGGGGATGGGGGGAAGCAGGGCAGGGGATGGGGGGAAGCAGGGCAGGGGATGGGGGGAAGCAGGGCAGGGGATGGGGGGAAGCAGGGCAGGGGATGGGGGGAAGCAGGGCAGGGGATGGGGGGAAGCAGGGCAGGGGATGGGGGGAAGCAGGGCAGGGGATGGGGGGAAGCAGGGCAGGGGATGGGGGGAAGCAGGGCAGGGGATGGGGGGAAGCAGGGCAGGGGATGGGGGGAAGCAGGGCAGGGGATGGGGGGAAGCAGGGCAGGGGATGGGGGGAAGCAGGGCAGGGGATGGGGGGAAGCAGGGCAGGGGATGGGGGGAAGCAGGGCAGGGGATGGGGGGAAGCAGGGCAGGGGATGGGGGGAAGCAGGGCAGGGGATGGGGGGAAGCAGGGCAGGGGATGGGGGGAAGCAGGGCAGGGGATGGGGGGAAGCAGGGCAGGGGATGGGGGGAAGCAGGGCAGGGGATGGGGGAAGCAGGGCAGGGGATGGGGGGAAGCAGGGCAGGGGATGGGGGGGAAGCAGGGCAGGGGATGGGGGGAAGCAGGGCAGGGGATGGGGGAAGCAGGGCAGGGGATGGGGGGAAGCAGGGCAGGGGATGGGGGGAAGCAGGGCAGGGGATGGGGGGAAGCAGGGCAGGGGATGGGGGGAAGCAGGGCAGGGGATGGGGGGAAGCAGGGCAGGGGATGGGGGGAAGCAGGGCAGGGGATGGGGGGAAGCAGGGCAGGGGATGGGGGGAAGCAGGGCAGGGGATGGGGGGAAGCAGGGCAGGGGATGGGGGGAAGCAGGGCAGGGGATGGGGGGAAGCAGGGCAGGGGATGGGGGGAAGCAGGGCAGGGGATGGGGGGAAGCAGGGCAGGGGATGGGGGGAAGCAGGGCAGGGGATGGGGGGAAGCAGGGCAGGGGATGGGGGGAAGCAGGGCAGGGGATGGGGGGAAGCAGGGCAGGGGATGGGGGGAAGCAGGGCAGGGGATGGGGGAAGCAGGGCAGGGGATGGGGGGAAGCAGGGCAGGGGATGGGGGGAAGCAGGGCAGGGGATGGGGGAAGCAGGGCAGGGGATGGGGGGAAGCAGGGCAGGGGATGGGGGGAAGCAGGGCAGGGGATGGGGGGAAGCAGGGCAGGGGATGGGGGGAAGCAGGGCAGGGGATGGGGGGAAGCAGGGCAGGGGATGGGGGGAAGCAGGGCAGGGGATGGGGGGAAGCAGGGCAGGGGATGGGGGGAAGCAGGGCAGGGGATGGGGGGGTGTTGGAAGCAGGGCCCCCAACACCCCCTTTTTCAAATCCCCATACCGCACACGCCCGTCTTTTCTGCGCCGTGTGTGCAACGTTCCAGTCACGGATTTCCATGCTGTCCCCTGCATCAGGTTCCTCACAATCTGGCTCCTCGGCTGGTCCCAATCGCTAACCCCCTCTTTACTGCCCACCTGCCCACCTGCCCACCTGTGTAGCGCGCCATGGTGCCTGGAAGATGAAATGCAGACCAGGAAACGGGAAAGAATGGAAGGAAGGCAGACGCATGTAATGATACACCTGCCCACCCGTGTAGCGCGCCAAGGTGCCTGATGGAGGGGAGTGGATGGGAGTGGAGGGGAGTGGAGGGGAGTGGAGGGGAGTGGAGGGGAGTGGAGGGGAGTGGATGGGAGTGGAGGGGGGTGGAGGGGAGTGGAGGGGAGTGGAGGAGAGTGGAAGGGAGTGGATGAGAGGGAGTAAGGAATAACATAGACGCATCTCGGAGGGGGGAAGCAGGGCATAGGGAGGGGGGCAGCAGGGCATAGGGAGGGGGGAAGCAGGGCGGAGGGGGTGGGGAAGCAGGGCAGAGGGAGGGGGCAAGCATGGCATAGGGAGGGGGGAAGCAGGGCGGAGGGAGGGGGGAAGCAGGGCGGAGGGAGGGGGGAAGCAGGGCGGAGGGAGTGGGGAAGCATGGCGGAGGGAGGGGGGAAGCAGGGCGGAGGGAGGGGGGAAGCAGGGCGGAGGGAGGGGGGAAGCAGGGCGGAGGGAGGGGGGAAGCAGGGCGGAGGGAGGGGGGAAGCAGGGAGCAGGGAGGGGGGAAGCAGGGCGGAGGGAGGGGGGAAGCAGGGAGCAGGGAGGGGGGAAGCAGGGCGGAGGGAGGGGGGAAGCAGGGAGCAGGGAGGGGGGAAGCAGGGAGCAGGGAGGGGGGAAGCAGGGAGCAGGGAGGGGGGAAGCAGGGAGCAGGGAGGGGGGAAGCAGGGAGCAGGGAGGGGGGAAGCAGGGAGCAGGGAGGGGGAAAGCAGGGAGCAGGGAGGGGGGAAGCAGGGAGCAGGGAGGGGGGAAGCAGGGAGCAGGGAGGGGGGAAGCAGGGAGCAGGGAGGGGGGAAGCAGGGAGCAGGGAGGGGGGAAGCAGGAAGCAGGGAGGGGGGAAGCAGGGAGCAGGGAGGGGGGAAGCAGGGAGCAGGGAGGGGGGAAGCAGGGAGCAGGGAGGGGGGAAGCAGGGAGCAGGGAGGGGGGAAGCAGGGAGCAGGGAGGGGGGAAGCAGGGAGCAGGGAGGGGGGAAGCAGGGAGCAGGGAGGGGGGAAGCAGGGCGCAGGGAGGGGGGAAGCAGGGAGCAGGGAGGGGGGAAGCAGGGAGCAGGGAGGGGGGAAGCAGGGAGCAGGGAGGGGGGAAGCAGGGAGCAGGGAGGGGGGAAGCAGGGAGCAGGGAGGGGGGAAGCAGGGAGCAGGGAGGGGGGAAGCAGGGAGCAGGGAGGGGGGAAGCAGGGAGCAGGGAGGGGGGAAGCAGGGAGCAGGGAGGGGGGAAGCAGGGAGCAGGGAGGGGGGAAGCAGGGAGCAGGGAGGGGGGAAGCAGGGAGCAGGGAGGGGGGAAGCAGGGAGCAGGGAGGGGGGAAGCAGGGAGCAGGGAGGGGGGAAGCAGGGAGCAGGGAGGGGGGAAGCAGGGAGCAGGGAGGGGGGAAGCAGGGAGCAGGGAGGGGGGAAGCAGGGAGCAGGGAGGGGGGAAGCAGGGAGCAGGGAGGGGGGAAGCAGGGAGCAGGGAGGGGGGAAGCAGGGAGCAGGGAGGGGGGAAGCAGGGAGCAGGGAGGGGGGAAGCAGGGAGCAGGGAGGGGGGAAGCAGGGAGCAGGGAGGGGGGAAGCAGGGAGCAGGGAGGGGGGAAGCAGGGAGCAGGGAGGGGGGAAGCAGGGAGCAGGGAGGGGGGAAGCAGGGAGCAGGGAGGGGGGAAGCAGGGAGCAGGGAGGGGGGAAGCAGGGAGCAGGGAGGGGGGAAGCAGGGAGCAGGGAGGGGGGAAGCAGGGAGCAGGGAGGGGGGAAGCAGGGAGCAGGGAGGGGGGAAGCAGGGAGCAGGGAGGGGGGAAGCAGGGAGCAGGGAGGGGGGAAGCAGGGAGCAGGGAGGGGGGAAGCAGGGAGCAGGGAGGGGGGAAGCAGGGAGCAGGGAGGGGGAAGCAGGGAGCAGGGAGGGGGGAAGCAGGGAGCAGGGAGGGGGGAAGCAGGGAGCAGGGAGGGGGGAAGCAGGGAGCAGGGAGGGGGGAAGCAGGGAGCAGGGAGGGGGGAAGCAGGGAGCAGGGAGGGGGGAAGCAGGGAGCAGGGAGGGGGGAAGCAGGGAGCAGGGAGGGGGGAAGCAGGGAGCAGGGAGGGGGGAAGCAGGGAGCAGGGAGGGGGGAAGCAGGGAGCAGGGAGGGGGGAAGCAGGGAGCAGGGAGGGGGGAAGCAGGGAGCAGGGAGGGGGGAAGCAGGGAGCAGGGAGGGGGAAGCAGGGAGCAGGGAGGGGGAAGCAGGGAGCAGGGAGGGGGGAAGCAGGGAGCAGGGAGGGGGGAAGCAGGGAGCAGGGAGGGGGGAAGCAGGGAGCAGGGAGGGGGGAAGCAGGGAGCAGGGAGGGGGGAAGCAGGGAGCAGGGAGGGGGAAGCAGGGAGCAGGGAGGGGGGAAGCAGGGAGCAGGGAGGGGGGAAGCAGGGAGCAGGGAGGGGGGAAGCAGGGAGCAGGGAGGGGGGAAGCAGGGAGCAGGGAGGGGGGAAGCAGGGAGCAGGGAGGGGGAAGCAGGGAGCAGGGAGGGGGGAAGCAGGGAGCAGGGAGGGGGGAAGCAGGGAGCAGGGAGGGGGGAAGCAGGGAGCAGGGAGGGGGGAAGCAGGGAGCAGGGAGGGGGGAAGCAGGGAGCAGGGAGGGGGGAAGCAGGGAGCAGGGAGGGGGGAAGCAGGGAGCAGGGAGGGGGGAAGCAGGGAGCAGGGAGGGGGGAAGCAGGGAGCAGGGAGGGGGGAAGCAGGGAGCAGGGAGGGGGGAAGCAGGGAGCAGGGAGGGGGGAAGCAGGGAGCAGGGAGGGGGAAGCAGGGAGCAGGGAGGGGGAAGCAGGGAGCAGGGAGGGGGGAAGCAGGGAGCAGGGAGGGGGGAAGCAGGGAGCAGGGAGGGGGGAAGCAGGGAGCAGGGAGGGGGGAAGCAGGGAGCAGGGAGGGGGGGAAGCAGGGAGCAGGGAGGGGGGAAGCAGGGAGCAGGGAGGGGGGAAGCAGGGAGCAGGGAGGGGGGAAGCAGGGAGCAGGGAGGGGGGAAGCAGGGAGCAGGGAGGGGGGAAGCAGGGAGCAGGGAGGGGGAAGCAGGGAGCAGGGAGGGGGAGGAAGCAGGGAGCAGGGAGGGGGAAGCAGGGAGCAGGGAGGGGGGAAGCAGGGAGCAGGGAGGGGGAAGCAGGGAGCAGGGAGGGGGAAGCAGGGAGCAGGAGGGGGGAAGCAGGGAGCAGGAGGGGGAAGCAGGGAGCAGGGAGGGGGGAAGCAGGGAGCAGGGAGGGGGGAAGCAGGGAGCAGGGAGGGGGGAAGCAGGGAGCAGGGAGGGGGGAAGCAGGGAGCAGGGAGGGGGGAAGCAGGGAGCAGGGAGGGGGGAAGCAGGGAGCAGGGAGGGGGGAAGCAGGGAGCAGGGAGGGGGGAAGCAGGGAGCAGGGAGGGGGGAAGCAGGGAGCAGGGAGGGGGGAAGCAGGGAGCAGGGAGGGGGGAAGCAGGGAGCAGGGAGGGGGGAAGCAGGGAGCAGGGAGGGGGGAAGCAGGGAGCAGGGAGGGGGAAGCAGGGAGCAGGGAGGGGGGAAGCAGGGAGCAGGGAGGGGGGAAGCAGGGAGCAGGGAGGGGGAAGCAGGGAGCAGGAGGGGGAAGCAGGAGAGGAGGGGAAGCAGGGAGCAGGGAGGGGGGAAGCAGGGAGCAGGGAGGGGGGAAGCAGGGAGCAGGGAGGGGGGAAGCAGGGCGCAGGGAGGGGGGAAGCAGGGAGCAGGGAGGGGGAAGCAGGGAGCAGGGAGGGGGGAAGCAGGGAGCAGGGAGGGGGGAAGCAGGGCGCAGGGAGGGGGGAAGCAGGGAGCAGGGAGGGGGGAAGCAGGGAGCAGGGAGGGGGGAAGCAGGGAGCAGGGAGGGGGGAAGCAGGGAGCAGGGAGGGGGGAAGCAGGGCGGAGGGAGGGGGGATGTAGGGGGGAGGGAGGGGGGAAGCAGGGCGGAGGGAGGGGGGAAGCAGAGCGGAGGGAGGGGGGAAGTAAGGGGGGATGGAGGGGGGAAGCAGGGCGGAGGGAGGGCGGAAGCAGGGAGGAGGGAGGGGGGAAGGGGAAGCAGGGAGGAGGAGGGAGGGGGGAAGCAGAGCGGAGGGAGGGGGGAAGCAGGGAGGAGGGAGGGGGGAAGCAGGGAGCAGGGAGGGGGGAAGCAGGGAGGAGGGAGGGGGGAAGCAGAGCGGAGGGAGGGGGGAAGCAGGGCGGAGGGAGGGGGGAAGCAGGGAGGAGGGAGGGGGGAAGCAGGGAGGAGGGAGGGGGGAAGCAGGAAGGAGGGAGGGGGGAAGCAGGAAGGAGGGAGGGGGAAGCAGGAAGGAGGGAGGGGGGAAGCAGGAAGGAGGGAGGGGGGAAGCAGGAAGGAGGGAGGGGGGAAGCAGGAAGGAGGGAGGGGGGAAGCAGGAAGGAGGGAGGGGGGAAGCAGGAAGGAGGGAGGGGGGAAGCTGGAAGGAGGGAGGGGGGAAGCAGGAAGGAGGGAGGGGGGAAGCCGGAGAGGGACAGGAGAATAGGTTGTAAGGGAGGGACTGAATAAAGAGGGGTGTAAACAGTCATGCCAGAAGTGAGGGGGACTGGGGGAGGGAGTGAGGGAAGTACAGGCTCTCCCCCTCTCTCTCTCCCTGTCTGCCCCTCCCCCTCTGTTCGTACCAATCTGTCCTTCCCCTGCAGTCTCTCCCCCTCTGTCCTTCCCCTTCTTTCTCTCCCCCTCGGTCCTTCCCCTTATGCCTCTCCCAATCTGTCCTTCCCCCTCTGTCTCCCTCCCTGAGTCCTTGTCCCTTTGTCTCAAACCCTCGGTCCTTACCCCTCTCTCCTGAGAGGGGTGCATGATAACCGCGGATGGACATGGGGAAGAGAGCAAGGTAGTGAGGAATGGAGAGAGAGGAAGAGAGGGTAGAGATGGGGGTTCCCAGGAGAGATGGAGGGAGGAAGAGGCGATTCGGGTGGTTGGAGGTGTGTTACCGGGGGAATCATTGGCGGACTTCATGTGCGAGTATAGGCTGCGCGCGCGAGAAAATGAAGAGGCGGGGTCGACGGGGAGAAGCGCGTGGGAAACGACGAGGCGGGGGCGACGAGGTTCCGCGCGTGGGACAGATTGCGAGGCGGGGGCGACGCGGTCCAGCGCGTGGGAAATGACGAGGCGGGAGCGACGAGGTGAAGCGCGTGGGAAATCGCGAGGCGGGGGCGACGAATAGAAGCGCGTGGGAAATCGCGAAGCGGGGGCGACGAGGAGAAGCGCGTGGGAAATCGCGAGGCGAGGGCGACGAGGAGGTGTTGAATTAATGCAGTTTCGCGACTAAATCAGTCACGTGCACGGGAAGAAACAGGCAGCCAGGATTCACTTGCACACATCCGCGCATGCAACATTTCGATCGGTTCTGGTCTCGGGCTATCGCGCGCTGCGCCGTGCCTAAACGGGCTCATCACTAGCGTCGACTAATCGCCGCGGGAGGTGCTACTGTAGCTATGCTACTCAGTGTCGAGCGGCTTTGGTCCCGCACATTTAGTCATGGGGTAGGCAGGGTGTGTTCGAGATGGGCGCTGCTCATTCTCACGTGGCTTTTGTAGGCAATGTTTCAATTGGGGTGTTTCTGTCGCGGGTTGCAGGTGCTGCTACTCGGATTCATTCTGCCTTGACGGTCCAATCAGAAGATGCATATCGTACACATGATTGGGTGAGGAGAAGGTTTGCTCGCTAATGCATTCACAATGCTGTCGCCAACCGCACATGCGATCAACTGGACCCTGCTTTTTTTTTGCTCCCCACAACGGTGGGGTACATCCTCCTTTTTTTGGCGCGCAAATTCTGGCCATCCACCCGCACTCCTTCCCGCCACTTCACTCATTTCAACCTGGACCCAACTAGAAAACGGGGTCACTATTTTGCCTGCTCGCTTTAATCATTTCGCCAACCCGCGTGACGCACTGTACAGATTTGGGGTTAAATTTTGGGATGTTGGTTATTTTCTTGAATTCGTGAACGTTTGTATCAAAATTGACATGATTATGTTCGTGCCCATATAACACGGAATAATTTTAATTGAATTGCAAGTAAGTACGATTAGAGACAGTGTTTCTTGTCTTCTTAAATAATATCTAGTATTTTAATCACATGTCGTGATAAAATGACAGATTTTGTGACCATCCGTGATAGCTCTCTAGATTCTGTGACCGTTCGCGAGAGACATTTTGTGATATCTAGCCAGGGTCCTCGCTAGGATTTGAACCCCCCTGATGCGTCAGACGGGCCCTTCGGGCCCGTCTGATGCATCAGATATTTCGCCTTTGCGTGTCTGATACATCAGAAATTTCAAAAGAACTTGTCTGACCAATTAAAATAGAGTTTCTAGCGTGTAGATGCACGTGGGATAACAAGGTGAGTCTGACTTTTCTGGACCTTTCACATTCATTCGCTGTACAAACTGGTGTGATTCGCACTTCACTGGTCTCAGCAAAATCACCCTAACACGGCAGATTCGCCCTGTCAGAGCACAAAATATTCGCCCAATCAGAGCAAATTTGCTCTGACACGGCAGATTCGCGACGTCAGAGCGCAACATGTTCATCCAATCATAGAAAACTCGTCCTGACACAACATTTGGCAAATTTACAGGCGCGACTCGGGAAAACGGGGATTGAGACACAAGTGTCCCCGCAGGAATGTACCCTAACATGTTTCGATTTCAGACGAAACATATATTACATTTCTGATGAATCAGATGAAGACAAAAATTCATTTCTACTCAATCAGATGAAAAAATAAATCATTCCTTGAAAATCAGATTAACTGGAAAAAAATCGTCTGGAAACTAAGACAAACAGACAAAAATGTCTGATGTCGAGGACCCTGCCGCCTATATAATAACCCTATTATTACCCTAGCCTCCGAAAGTTTTGATGACGGCATCAGATGCGTGTAGAACAGCACCGTTGACTCTCGTCATAGGTCGCCTAGCCCGTAGGGAATCTGGGTGCTAAATTGCGGTGTAGGTGCTTGGAAGGTGTTTCAAAATTTCTCAGTTTTTTTTTCAGCCCAATCCTGTTGGGTCGCAACACATCGTGACTTTGACTGACATATTTTTACCAATTTTGGTTCGAATTGGCACGAACCCGGCATGAGTGTTTCAGGCCCTACCCGGCAATGTGGTAGGGGCAACCTCTCACCCGGTACAAATGCCACCTACTCGACAATGTGGTCGGGGTGGGAGCTCTCGATTCATTGACAGCTCCGAGTTGCCAACGAGGTACACCCTGCCATTGCAGTGTGCCAGGCGCAGGTTTGTCAAGAAATCGCGGGATGTTTCGTTTACCCTGTCGGACTGGAAGTAAACAAATTTCGTGAACCCTGTGCTGTATTCTCCTTCCAAGAATGGCTTTGACGGGTTGCGGCTTGAAAAGGACAACATTATAGCGTGGGCCCAAACGGGTTTGATCGCCTCGATCAGCCGCGATCAATAATTTCCAGGAAGCCTGGAGGCCAAATTCAGGCAATCAGGGGCAATCAGCTGATCGCCCCAACTCGATCAGACCCAATTTACCCCCCGATCATAGTCGATTCTCTTCGATCACCCACGATCAATTGATCGTGGGTGATCAGGGACCACAGCGATACTGACGAAAAGTTACACTGTATTACAGGGATTCGTCAACCCCTCACGAAGATGTCCAGCCTATACAGAACACCCTGGAAAGTTACACTATTACTTGGATACAGAGAGTTTCGCCAGAAGCCGTCTGGTCGCCAGTCTCGCTAAGATTGCCACGAAAATACCAGGTAATTAAATCCCGCTTGCTGAGCAGCCAAGAAGAATCTTCTAAGAAAAACATTACTGATCGGGCGGCTCGAGCATTGCGATCACAAGCAACCCGATCAGATCCGCCCCGATCAGATCAGTCGCGATCAAACCCGTTTGGGCCCACGCCCTTAGGCAAGCTCACCTTCACTGTTTTCCTAAAGGTTCCTGCTCAGTACTTAGGGCGTGTTACATTTTTGGCCTTACGTCGTCCGTCCCATTGATCGTCCGAACAATTTGTTGGTAACTAGTTTCGCTTGATTTTGGATGGCATCTCGCATATCAGCATGCGACGTCGCATGCGTCTGTACCGAGGATGGAACTATTTCAGTGCTCCCTGCATAGACGCTGGTCCGGATGCATGCTGTCCGTCAGGTGGACAGGCAAAACGAACCGCGTGTTGATTGGCGGGCGAAATTCTGAAACGAAAATGGAATCCGCCAATCAGCTGTCTAGCCGCTCAAAACCAATCACGCGTTGCACAGATCGCCGGGGCGCATTTCAATGTTGAACCCAGTGTCAGAATGTTATTGTTCTCTAGCCTGCAGTGGGGTACTCTATAGCGAGTACAACCCCTTAGGGTTTCCTATATGTATCCTGCTGCTTTCTAGTGAACACCCTCCTTTGCTCAATTCTCTCTTGCCTAGCTAGGGTTTACCTAGCTATGGCTCCTACTTGTGCCTACTATTCTCACATGCTATCAGAGCATCTACGCTCCTGGCCTGTGGGCCCACCTAACTGCTTCCGCTGCTACTCTGTGTGTTGCACGCCCCGTGGCGTGCGACGGATTTCTCTTCCCGCCGCGCGCTCGGAGCGTGCGGCGGTTTTCTGCCCGCCGTGCGCCCCGAGGCGCGTGGCGGTTTTCTGCCCGCCGTGCGCCCCGGGGCGTGCGGCGGTTCTCTGCCCGCCGTGCGCCCCGAGGCGCGCGGCGGCCTTCTGCCCCGTCGGTCCGCGCGTCGCCCCCGGGGGGCGCTTCGACGGGCGACGGGGACCAGCCCGTCGTCCCCCATCGCACGTCCTGGCTAGCGCGGGCTGCGCTAGCCCCGAGCGCGGCCCGTACGGGCTGCGCTAGCCCCGAGCGCGGCCCGTACGGGCTGCGCCCGGCCCGCGCGCGGCCCGTACGGGCTGCGCCAGGCCCGCGCGCGGCCCGTACGGGCTGCGCCAGGCCCGCGCGCGGCTCGGGCCGCCTGCGCGCGGTTCGTCGGGCTGTGCCAGGCCCGTGGGCGGCCCGTTCCTCTCTGTCCCTGAGCTGCTCGCTGTCCCCCGTGCTTCTGACGGTGCCCCACCCCTGCTGCTGCACGTTCTCCTGAATTAGGGTTTGGGGGTGGGGGGTATGGGGATGCAGTTTCTGTGCGCCGTTCCACTACTTCTCCTCCTCCTCCGTCTCCCGCTGCTGCAGCTGCCGCTCAGGGGGGTGGGTGTGTGGGAGCCGAAGGAGCGGTGCTAGGGGGGTGCTGTGGGAGTGGAGTTAGGGGTTCAGCAGGGGGTGTGTGTCGAGGGTGTGGGGTAGTTGGAGGAGGTTGTGTGGAGGTAGCGGTCGTGTCGCCTGCAGCGCCTGTAGTCCGTCGCCCTTGCTTCGGTAGCCAGTGAGCCTGTTGCACCAGTCGCCAGTGGGTCCGTTGCTCCTGCCGCTCGTCTATAGCCGCGGAGCCAGTTACTCCAGTAGTCCGTCGCCCTTGCTTCGGTAGCCACTGAGTCAGCCGCTCCTGTGCCCGTGCCTCTGCAGCTTCAGTCGTTGCCTCCCATCTTCTCTCCTTCCACAGTTCCTCCTCCTCCTCACTTGCCCTCTGCGACTGCCTCTAGCTTTACTTGTGCATGTGAACCTGCTCTAGGACTACTTGCTCTGCTGATTATACCCCACTTTGACTATGGGGGTGTGTCAGAATGTTATTGTTCTCTAGCCTGCAGTGGGGTACTCTATAGCGAGTACAACCCCTTAGGGTTTCCTATATGTATCCTGCTGCTTTCTAGTGAACACCCTCCTTTGCTCAATTCTCTCTTGCCTAGCTAGGGTTTACCTAGCTATGGCTCCTACTTGTGCCTACTATTCTCACACCCAGTGCCTCAACTGAGGCCACCAGAATGACTGATTCAGGAAGAACAAAATCCAGCGTGGCACATTTTCGGCCAAGAAGTTCCTCCAAGATCCACGGGACATTGAGAACTTGTTTGGCGCAATTCTCTCGAAGCATCAGTTGAGAGAGAAATAGCCGAGCCGCATTTCCAACAACAATCGAACGAAACAATGTGAATCCACTACAAAACAGGCATCAATCTGAACGACAACATCATAGGCAACGATGGATTTCTCTAGCGTTGGTGACAACTCCCAACCTTCCCCCGACAACCACGCTTCGGAGTTGTCCGTGAACCAGGAGTGGCAAGCACTCGAGTTGTCGAGGCGCACATTTGTGGTGGGCGAAAATTGCGACCAGGCGGGTATTGTGTTACAGAGTGTTCACAATTTTGAAGTTCGAAACTCAAAATTGTCCCACTTCCAGACGTTCGGACGAGGCTTGTTCCGGACGTGAGCCTCGGACAGCCCATACGAGATGATCCGTACCATCGACGGAGCATCGTCCAGACAAAAGGGCCTCGAAGAAAATGTAACACGCCCTTAGGAAAACCTTAGCCACCTTGGAGTTGTCCTGGTGTGCACCCATCCCCTCTGACCCTGCTCTACTTGCTGACCCTGAGAGGCGGTGTTTTCCAGGCACATGATGCCATCCGAGGAATGTGCCGCGATGCTGCAAGTCGTTGACTTTTTGTGGAGCAGCCCAGAAAATCCGTTTCCACGCTGCCAGGCTGCCTGTGGAACAGAGATGTGGCGATTCACCAGGGCAAGCGGCTGCCCCTGGTCGCGAAGGGATGTATTGTAAATCCCACGTGAAGAGACATTTCAAGCCCATATAGTTTCGAAGTGACGACCCAACACGGTGCCTTTCTCTGTCTGCAAAAAGTTATCGCGTAGTTTTGCTGCCTCTCGTCACCAATGGCGAAGGGCGGCCCTTTCGCCGACGGAAGTACTAGAAACGACGAGCCCCGCCTCGGTGCATACCACTTTATGGCCCTGCTTGTGGGCGCCTCGATATGCGCCGCGTTCACCGAGCTGCAGGAGGTGTTGCCGGCGGCATGGCTGCAGCTGCTGATGCTCCGCTTCTTCTCCGCAGCGCGCGTGGGCGACCGGCCGTGGCGTAACCTCATCACACTCACCGTCCTCGTAGTCGCGACGCAGGTAGGAGCAGCAGCGCGTCGCATGCAGAAAACCACGTCGCAACTGACCAATCACACGTGTGACGATGTAGAGGGAAGTCTGGGGGTAGTTTTGGGCGAGTGTCGTAACTTTGGGGTGAGTTCTTGGCTACATGGTGGCGAATTTTCTGTAGGTTCCTCGAGGTAACCTCCGTTGGAGGTGAGTTTGGAGGCAAGCAACATTTTCTAGAAACTGCAACGCCTCTCACGTGTGACGCCTCACAAAGCCACGATACTCCCCTGTGCTCTCGCTCACTATCATCATCCCTCACAGGCATGCGGCACGACAGTGGCGTACGCGAGCATGTACGCCATGGACCCGACGGCCAACGTCCTCGCCTCCAGCCAGATCGCGGTGGCCAACGTGCTGCCATGCCTCGCGGACTCGCTCTTCCGCTTCACCTACAGGTGCGATGGAGTGAGAGAAATGAGCAGCAGCGTTTGAAACGTGTTGGCTTGTTGTGGCAGCGTGATGGTAGTTTTTAGGATCCTCAAAGCTCGTCTCATCTCACGCTGACTCGCTACCTCGACAAAAAAAAGTATTTCGAAGCTTTCCCGCAAGAAAAATAATCATCACTATTTCGCGATGCCGGGCCAAACTCACTTCCGAAGATCTTCCTCAGCGGTGAGGGGAGGAATTAGCATGCACTAATGTGCCGCTAGTTGTGGCAGCGTGATGGTTTCGGCTGGTGTGGTGGTGTGGCATGCCATGCTGACTCCTCCTTTTCTCCCCCTCCCTTCCCCCCTCTGCTCCTCCCCTTCCCCCCTCTGCTCCTCCCCTCCCCCTCCCCCTCCTCCCACCTGCCCCCAACCTTCCATGACGGGATCTAGCTGCATCTTCACGCGCCCGTCTTCCCTCTTACTCCACCTTCGTCTGGACCCTCTGCCACCGCCCGTCTCTTCTACTCACTCCGCCACATATTGAGTCTGACTCGAAATTCACTTCCGCCCTCCTGTGCCCAACCCCCCCTCCCCCCTTCCTCCCGCTCCCCTCCCCCCACCACAGGCTCTCACCACACCTGCATCCGCTCGTCTTCCCCCTCGTCTCCGCCTCCATCTGGACCCACCTCTCGCTGCTCTCCCCCTTTGGCGCCTTAGCCCACCCGTTCTACTCGCTGTGCTCCCTGCTGCCGCTCGTGCAAGCCACGGCATATGTGGGCATGGATGGTGTCTTGCTGCTGGTGGCCTGGCTGGTGGGGGGTATTCACCAGATGATGTGCGAGGGGGATGCGGTGGGGAGAGGCGAGGAGGGGTGGAGGCGGGGGGAGTGGGGTGAGAGTCGGGGTGAGAGTGGGAGGGTGGTTGGGGAGGAGGGGGGCGGGAGAGGGGAAGGGCATGTGAGGTGTCCTGGGGAGGGGGTGAGGGAGGGGGGTAGCAGTCAAGTGTGTGGTGAGGGCTGTAACAGTGTTAGTGCAATGAGGAATGGAGCAGGAGGAGGAGGAGGAGTAGGAGGAGTAGGAGGAGGAGAAGGAGTAGGAGCAGGTGGGGAAAGGGGAGAAGGTGCAGTTGGGAGAAGCAACAGGCTTGGGGGAGGCAGCAGCGGGTGGGGCCATGTGCAGATGAGTGTGGCACTGCTGGTGGTGCTGATGGCGGCCGGGTCAGCGAGAGAGATTGTGTTCTCATCCAGGTACTATTGCTGCACTGCACTGCGCCTGTACAACGAACTGCTCATGCTTTACTGCCCTTTACTCAACTCCCGTCATCCCCCCCCCCTCTTCCTTCTCCCCTTCCTTTTCCCTTTCCTTCACTTCGCTTCTGTATTCTGTTGAACCATCCACCCATCGTATTTCCTTCAGATTCATCCATCTTCAAGAGTCGTGATCCATCTGTCTCTCCCTCTCCCTCTCCCTCTCCCTCTCAGATTCTTCCAGAAGCCGCTAGAAGCAACCATAGTTCCCTCGGTGCCTGTCTCCTGCATCCTCTCGCAAGCCCCCGCCAACAACATCTCCCCCCGACCTCCCCCCTCGCTCTGCCAGCGTACTGCTGCTAACGCCTCCACGCATTTACCCACTCCCTCAATGCTGCTGGGGGCAGATGGGGGAGAAGGGGAAAACGGGGGGGGACAGGGAGAGTGTCGACAGGGAGTTGCAGAAGGGGAAGCATCTGCAGCGGGCGTAGGGAAAGGAGAAACGGGAAGAGCCAAAGCAGCAGCTGGGGAAGCAGCAGAATCAACAACAGCAGCATCAGTAGCAGCAGCAGCTGCACGAGAGGCGTGGGAGAAGTGGGAGGCATGGCGGGTGGCAGGCATAGCACGGATGGTGCAGCAGACGCAGCAGAGAGCGAGAGCAGGCGACGTTCTGATCCTGTGGTCAGAGGCACCTGTCATTCTCATGGACGACCATGAGGAGGCCACGCTCCTGGCTGACCTTGCTGCCATCGCCACTGCTGCCAGCACCAGCCGCGCTGCCGCCGCTGCTACTTCAACTGCTGCCGCCGCTGCCACTGCTGTTGGGGACGATGCAACTCCATCAACTCTTGGGCCATACCTGGGCGCTTCATATGTAAAGGTGCGGGTTTCGATTTCCATGACCACACGGATTCACAGGCGTATGTGTGCTGGATTTTTATATTCATACGTTGAGAGCTTGAGAGACAGTCATTGGTGCAGGCGGAGCCCTCCTGATGTGACCAGACTCAAACCCAAAGTCTCATACTTGGCTCTGCTGCTGCTCGTATCACGCCCATGAAGAGCCCAACCTCCTTGCTTACCGCGCTGCCCTAGCTACAACTGCTGTGCCCCTTTCTCCCATGCCCTCCCCACCCCTGTGTGTCCCCCACACCCCCATCCCTTGCCCATCCCTTGCCCCATGTCAGCTCATTGGCCCTAACTTCGTCATCAACACGTTCGCCCTCATCGGCCCCAGCGGCGCCCCCATCCTGCGCTACAACAAGTCGCACCTCTTTCCCTCTGTGGAGGCCAACGTGCAACCCGGACTCGGGTCTCTGCCCGTGGTGGACACGCCTCTGGGGAGGCTGTCTGTGGCCGTCTGCTTTGACATGCAGTTCCCTGCACTCATCCGCCAGGCGGGAAGACAAGGGTGAGTGAGCGTATGTGTGTTTTCGCAAAGCCTGGCCTTCTTGCTGTTGCAGGTGGTGCATCGGTGAGTGGTGAGTGGTGAGTGGGGCCCGACCTTCCCCTCGTCCCCCACTCCCCCCTCCCCCCCTCCACCCCGTGATGTTGGAGACACTCTCAAGAGGTTTAAAGAAGAGCCAACGGCCAATGCAGGCACTCCTATGTAAACCCATCCTCACTTTTCTCCCATCTCTATAACCATCTTCCAAGTGAACATTCTGCTGCAGCCCAGCTGGACGTGGGGCACCGTAGCTGTGCCACAGCCATGGCAAACAGTCCTTCCTTTGCTGATCCGTCTCCCCCATTTCCCCTCCACCCTCGCCATCCTCAGAGTGGACATTCTGCTGCAGCCCAGCTGGACGTGGGGCGCCATAGGCCACGTGACATTCGAGACGGATGCAGTGAGGGCAGCAGAGAACGGGCTCACACTGCTGCGCTGCTCCTCCATTGGGGTCTCGGGTGTCGTCTCCCCGTACTACCGCACCCTTGCTGCACAGTGCGTGCTGCTGCTACTGTGGACATGAATGATTGAATCATGACCTGTGCTGTTGCAACATGTCTGCTCCATATGTGCCAGTGTACTTGAATTTTCTCCTCAGCGTGTTGGGTGTTGTCTCCCCGCACTACCGCACCCTTGCTGCATGGTGTGTGCTCCTGCTGCGGTGGCTGTGTTTCCACCTGTTTACCCGTTTGCCCAATATTTCATCCACCATTTCATTCAATTCCGCACACATACAACCATCTGCCCCTTCATTCCCCATTCCCCTTGGTTCTGGTGTTTGCCCCACTCACTCACCGCAGGGAAGCGCTAGAGAGTGGGATGCTCACAATGCACCTGCCCCTCCAGCGCCGTGCCCCAGCGCTCTACCCCTTTATTGGCCTACCCATCTCCCTCCTCCTCCTCTTCGTCACCCTCTTTGCAGCATTTCTTGCCATTTCCCCGCCCTACCTCTCCCTCCCTTTCTGTCGTTACCTCCCCACCCCCCTCTGCTCGCTGCTGCCTTACCCTCTCTGCTTGGGTGGACAGCAAGAGGGGAGGGAGAGGGAGAAGAAGGAATAATAGGTTGCAGTCCTGACCGTTTTTCCCGTAGCAGGAGGGAGCAGTGCAGACAGTTTTTACCGTAGCACAAGAGGGTTGGATACAGCCAATTTCCTTCATGTAGCTGGTTTGCGGTAACCTGCATGTTGGTTACCCGCAACCTGCTAGGTTACTTCTAGTTGTGTTGCTGCTATCATTGTTGTTCTCAACTTTTGCTAGTGAAACACTTGCTAATTTTCACCGTGAATGCACTAGTGAACTAGTGCTAGAGAACGCTAATAATGCAGGCAAAGCTACCACACAACGGTGCCTTCCCCAGTAGTCTAGCTCCCACCGTTGTAGAGTGAATCTCTTCATGGTGCGGTGAGCAGGGCCTCAGATGTCAGGAATTTTGCCCTGAATTCCTGAAGTTTGACCCCCGTTTTTTATCATGACCCTGATGCATCAGCCTTTTTTTTTCAACGACCCTGATGTTTCAGTGTTTTTTTAATTTCGAACTCTGATTTTCCAGTGTTTTGTGTTTGAGGACACTGACGAGTCAGTGTTGTATCGGGGTCTACCCTGAAACCGAAAACTCCTTGTTTTGGCCCGCCGTCACCGTGCACCGTGCACCAAGGGGATTTCTGGCGAAACATGCTCTGACAGGGCAAATCTCTTGTGTGAGGGGCGAATCTGCTGCAGTGTCAGGGCAAATCTGCTGTGATTGGGCGAATTTGCTGTGCTGCGACAGCGCGTAACGACTGTGCAAGGTCGAATTTGCTGTCAGGGCGAATCTGCTGTGACGAACCAAGTCCGAATCATCAGTCAAGTACACAACCAGATATCGGAAACAGTTGTTAACAATTGTCCTATTCGATTGGTCAGACAAGATTTCTGACCAATCAGACACGGAAATAGCAAAATTTTGGCCGAATATGGGAATTGTAAAGTGAGGGCAGTCTGATTCGCTGTGTTATGACAGCATACCAGTATAAGCAACTATGCTGATCAGTGTTGAAGTTTTAGAAACCCTGATTGATCAGCGTTTTATTTCTAACAACCCTGAAAAATCAGTGTTTCACACTAGACGACACTGAAAATCAGTGTTACCCTCCTAGAGACACTGAGTGCTCAGGGTACCCAAAAACCAATCTGAGGCCCTGGCGGTGAGCGTGTACGGCCCTGCAAATTACCTTCATTGTATTCAACTTGGTGCGCAATACCTAATTCGTTAAAGCCAGCAGCTAAAATAGTGAACCCCGTCCCTCTTGAAAAAGGTATTGAGAAGTGATAATGAAACCAGTCTGACAAACACTGTTTCAAACAAATCGCATGGGCAGAGTGAACTCATTTGATTGGCCCTCGCCAAACTAGAATGCTCTGCTTCCCGCCAAAATGAACTTTCTGGCACATTTCAGCCGTCGCATTTTGTGTGCTGCACCCGCACGACCGTTCCGTGGCGATGGTTTTCCATCCCCAGGCCAACTTCAATTTCGAGCTGGTTCTGGGTTCACAACCAGTTTTCCGAAACCTTCAGTCACTAGTTTTCCGAAACCATCAATCACTAGTTTTCCACATAGCATACTAAGAAATGGAGCTCAGAGCATAAACGTTTCTGTCATAGACTTAAAGATTATCGACGAGTGCATCAACTGTCACCAGGGCCCTAGATATCAGACTTTGTAGTCTGATTCAGAGTCCGTTCAGAATTTTTTTTTGTACCTAGTCTGAAGTCTAAGAATATCTTTATGTACCTTGTCTGATTTTTCAGAGTTTTGCTTTATGAGTTGTCTGAAATTTCAGCCTAATTTTATTAGTGTAAGCTGAGCCTCATACTTGTATCGGGGTGCACCCTGAAACCCGTAATACAGCAGTTTCCGCCAGCCTGGTGGCGTGTAGCACTCACCGTCAATCACGGGCGGGAAACCAAAATTTCCCGAGCGCGGCACCGCAAACTCCCGAGCAGGGTCCTCGCTAGGTTTTGAACCCCCCTGATGCGTCAGATGGGCCCTTCGGGCACACGCTTGCCCTGTCACACCACTTTTGCCCTCTATCACACCGAAGAGTCAACCTGTCAGGGCAAAAATCCGCCCTGTCAAGGAAGAGATTCGCCCTGCCTAGGGTGAAGTGCGAAGATTCGCCTTGTACAGAGCGAAGAGATTCGCCCTGTACAGAGCGAAGTGCGAAAATTCGCCCTGTCAGGGTGAAGATTCTAACTGTCAGGGCGAAGATTCGCCCTGCCTAGGCAGAGATTTGCCTTATCAGGGTAGAGATTCGCCTTGTCAGAGTAGAGATTCGCCTTGTCAGAGCTGTAAATCTCGTTATTCTATGTTTCAGTTTAAGACAAAACAGAAATTGTGTTTAACTCTGAACGTTCAGCGTAAAAAACGTAGTGTTGTCTGAATTTTCAGACTAGAAAAAATAGGTAACTCTGACAGCCAGACTAGGAAGAGGGGTGTAATATGAGGCGTCAGACTACCTCAAAACGAATCTAGGGGCCTGACTGTCACCTTCGGCCGGTAGCCGTCTTAGTCGCCATGGTACCATATCGCCCCAGATAGTAGCGCATATGCGCTTACAATAAAAATGATTTTTTTATAGGGGGCGCTTGTAATTGAGTCTAGGGCATAAGCGCATGCGCTTATATAATGACAAATACAGAAGAAATAATTAAACGCGCCAAACCGTACATCTCAGTCTCGCTGCTTCAATCGAGTCGAAATTTCACAGCGTCCCAAATCAGAATCGCACGAGGGCGATGCATTGACGTTGCACAGAGCTTTGGCACGTCATTTTGCAAACGTCCCAGCTTATCCTGGAGCTGCACATACAAGTGAGGCCTCACTGGACGCGCAACAAGTGAGGCCCTCGATCGAGAGTCAAACAAGTTGAAAAGGGTGTTTACTCGCTGCAAAATTGTATTTCGTCACTGTTTTAATCAAGATTGAGAAATAAAATCAGACATGCGATTATAAGAGCATATTTCTATCCTCGTATCAAGAGAACCTCATATCAACCTCCCACTGAAAATTCCCCTAAACCCAAAACCTCTCGCTAGTTTTACCAGGCAAAAAGTACAATCTTGATATGAGGTTATCTTGATACGAGGATAGGAATACGTTCTAATAAATCAAGGTTTTACAGGGGGTGCGCTTATAATTGAGGACCGGCCATAAGCGCATGGCTCCAGATAGAAGCGCCGGCGCATTTAATAGGACGGCGCTACTATCCGGGGCGATACGGGCCACGAGGCCGAAGCAGGCGTAGCGGATACCCTGCAGGCGAGGGAGGCTGATGCGAGGAGACGCCACACGGCTGGCGAGTTCGGGCCGGTACTCCCCTTGAAGGTGCCTGGGGATCCCTTCGCATTGGGCTGCGGAACACCCTTCCCGACCCGCCTGTTCTCAACCTAAATACAACGAAGGCGGTGTCGACGAGGAGGTCGACGGCGGTGACCAAGTCGGCGGCAGCGAGGGCCCAATTTAGAGAGGAGTGATCAATTTCGCCGACGACGACGCCACTAGGAATCATATGCGAGTGCAGGGGTCGACGGCGGCCACAAGCAGCTCGCGTGTCAACATCGAAGGACGACGTGGCTCTCCCCACCGAAGTAGTGGGAGGCCCACATCGACGACCCATGTGACAACGGGCGGGATTGCGTCGGCGTATGGCTACTTCAAATTTTCGCTGGACAAGATTGCCATGCATGTATCTGCAAGTTTGACGGGACCTCATCACGTGGAGGTCGATCAAGCCTCGGCTGGAGATTGCCGGGCTAAAGGGTTTCGCCGACGACCACGTGGCAATGCCGGACAAGGACGACTTTGAGTTGCGAGTGGAATTCCGCGTGGCTCACTTGTTGACCTTTATGGTCATTTCGAGATGTTGCTCGCCGATGGTGCGGATCGCTCTAAAGCCATGCCAAACTCAACTGGACGCTGGCCACTAGGCGTGGCGGTACATCGTATCGACGTACGAGGCAACGGACGACTTGTACATTGGCCAGTTGGAGGAGCAACTTATCCACTTTAGATGTGTGAGTAGGGGTCGACGACAGACTACTGCAACCATGCTCGACAAATCCTCGCCGACATGCAGATGGCCGGCATCGACTACTCAACAGCATCGTACATCACGCACGTCAAGGGCCTCCCGAGCGGATACAACCTCATGCGTCGGATGATGGCGATGTCCGCCGTGAAAGAGTCGCTCGACTAGGACACCCTCACTAGCCACATCATCAAGGATGAGGCGATGCAAGTGGCAGAACGGCCCACCGAGCTCCTTCCATATGCAAACTACGCCGCCCCAATGAAGTAGAGTTGTTAACAGGGGCAGTGTGGGAAGCTAGGCGGAGGTGGTAGCGGAGGTGGGAGGTCGACAATGGTCGTGGATCATATCAAGTTGACGTGGGACAGAGGTCACGGAGGTGGTGGTCGACGGCGGGAGTGTTGGATTTGCGTCAAACCCAACCACCTCTCCTTTGAGTGCCCCGATCGCAACGACTCTGATGACAACGACCACAAGAGAGACCGCAGGAGGTCGGCCAATGTTCGTTGTAGTCAAAAGAACAAACCGTGCAAGGAGAAGCAGACGTCGAAGAAGACGCCGTCAGCGAAGGACGTCAACTCCTCCTGCGGCAAAGGTCGGGGCGACGGAGAGGTGTCGTGTTCGCTGGTCGGCGTGGTTGATTCAACTGTCTCGCTGGCGTCGGAGGCTGGCGAATACTTCAAGGTAGTCGCAGCTGCTGTGCAAGCAATCCCGAATTTTTTCCTACTCGACAGCGGCTGCTCTCACCATCTCATGGGGACGAAGGAGGCCTTCGTCGACATGGCGTGAAGCATGTGCGCGATTTCAATGGGGCTCTGCAGACCCTCGAGGGCTGCAGCCCCGTTGCTCAGCAAGGGGAGGTTGGGAAGCAGGTCCTCATCCCCGACGTGCTTTACGTTCGAGGCGTGCAGGCAAACGTGTTGTAGGCTGGCCAGCTGAATGATAGTGGTGTAAAGCTGCAGGGCGGCGGCGACAAGATGTTGCTCGTCGGG